ACGTCTGCGTTTAAATTCATTTACCCAGTTATAAACAGTCTTAAACACAGGGGCAGACTTGCCATGAACGGCGTTTAACTCAACTGTGATTTCTTTTGATGTAAGGCCTTTCAAATAGAAATGTTTTATCACAGCTCGAAACTCTGTTTTTTGCATTTTTCAAATAAACCAATAACTTTTTGTTCAATCAACACTCACAAAAAAACGACTTAATGAATCGAGTTAAAACTTTGTACCATATCTAGTTAGTAGTATTGCTCGCCAAAAACATCATAATTTAAGCGTGACAAGCACCATCTCTTGGATTTTGTAAAAACGTATTGACCCCCTCGTACTCTCTTGTTCATCGACGCGGGGATCCTCACAACTAGCGCTCTCTCTATCTCTCTCTTTCTCTTTCTCTTCCATCTTCGGCGCAATCTTGATCGCTTCATCCGTCTGTTTAGCCCGTACACCGCACCTCGAACACAAAAGCCTAACATGAGTGTGCATGTCATATGCATAAATGGACAAAGTCGGCCTAGCTAAGATTCTCCGTTAAAATTTAAATCCTATTAAAAAAATATTTAATAAAAATAAAAATAAGAGTATAAGGCATTAATCTTAAAATGCATGAAGTCAAATCACATTAAATCTTAAAACGCATAAGCTTCGACTAATGTCTGATCTGAAATTAATGATCATAAAACGCTCGGGCTTTAGCTCACAGAGCTGATGACCTTAGCAACCTGATTCTAGCCTTATTTTATAACTTTTATTAGAATGATAAAAGAAATAGACATGTAATATCCAGTAATTTATTTTGGTAATATATAATTATGTTTAGCTAATGCATAATTAGGAAGGGTAAAAAAGTTTTTTGAGAAGAATAAGCTAATTGTAAAATATATTTTGTGAAAAAAAGCCCTACATGTTATTTTAATCTGTAAATGTATTACACTTGTATATTTATATTTAAATACACAGAATATAATAATAGTACATTTACATAAATAATTTTTTTTATATTTCCTCCAAGTATATTTACAATCTGTCTACATTATATTACAAAATGAGTATATTATGATTTATAATTTATTACATGAAGGTACTTCACTAAAAATCTGTACCAAGTAAAAACAAAAAAGTGTAATAACTTTTATTTTATAAAATAGACTTCCAATTTAATAAAATAGTGCTTTGCATTTCTTGAATTTTAATACTCTTGGAATTGTATGCATTGTATTCTTCATCAGACGATTTGGCTATTCCGTTAGTCGATTACTGTACCTTCTGTGGGTAGCTTCTATTTCTACCATTATAGTTGATATGCTACCGTTCTTTCTGATTATTTCATTTGTAATAAACTATGGTTCATTTATAATAAATCTCCTTATTCTGAAATACCTTATTCTGGAATCTATCAATGATACCAATGTTTGATTTTGCAGTAGTACCTTAAAGTTGAATTCTATATACTCATACTGGTTCAAATATACATTTGTATATAAAAAATTTATTATTACTCAATAACTTGGAGTTTCTAATTAGTAACCAGTAGAATTCTCTTATCATTAGATTAATTTATTTATGTTTTGTACAGATCTAATCTCTTCTTCTTAATCGTGAACCTAAATGTATCCCTAGGTATTTAGCTTTGTCACCTTGAGGAATTAATTTGTTACTTATACGAGGTTCATTTGAAAAGTCCGTGCAAAGTCAGAGAGATGGCGCTACTAATGCGTATCAAGGTTATTTTCAGTTAGTGGCATATCTTGGAAGAACACACACCAAGTTTCAGCCAGATCGGCCAATTACTTTGTATTTTACATTCGTTTCAATCAAAGAAATCGAGTGGTTGTAAAAAAATGGACGAAAAAGAATTTCGTGTATTAATTAAACATTACTTTTTCAAAGGCAAAATGCCTCAGGAGATTAAACAGAAGCTTGGTAAACATTATGGTGATTGTGCACCTTCAATTAGAATGGTTTATAAGTGGTTTCAAAATTTTCGGAGTGGCCATATGAGCACAAAAGACGCTGAACGTTCTGGACGCCCTGTTGAGGTTATCACTTCAGAAATCATTGATAAAATCCATGATATGGTGATGGCTGACAGAAGAGTGAAGGTGCGTGAGATTGCTAGTACTGTAGGCATCTCGAGTCAACGGGTACATAATATTTTCACCAACATTTGGACATGAAAAAGCTACCCGCTAGATGGGTGCCGCGATTGCTCACGATTAACCAAAAACGAGATCGTGTGAAGTGTTGCAAGAATGGTTTGCAGCTGTTCCAGCAAAATCCGCAAGACTTTAAGCGTCGTTTCATCACTGTAGATGAAACATGGATACATCACTACACTCCTGAGACCAAAGAATAGTCTAAACCATGGGTTACCAAGGGGGAATCTGCTCCGAAAATGGCGAAGACAATTCCTTCGGCCGGGAAGGTTATGGCGACTGTCTTTTGGAATTCGCAAGGAATAATCTTCATTGACTATCTGGAAAAGAGTAAAACCATTTGAGGCGAATATTATTCATCGTTATTGGATCGTTTGAAAACCGAGTTGCTAGAGAAACGTCCACGATTGGCCCACAAAAAAGTCCTCTTCCACCACGACAATGCGCCAGCTCACGCCTCAGCAGTTGTGGCCGTAAAACTGATGGAGATAGGGTTCCAACTCGTTTCACATCCCCCTTATTCTCTAGACTTGGCTCCGTCGGACTACTATTTGTTCCCTAATATGATAAAATGGCTGGCGGGGAAAAGATTTTATTCAAACGAGGAGGTGATTGCAGAAACAAATACCTATTTTACAGACTTGGACAAATCCTATTATTTGGAAAGGATTAACAAACTAGAGCAGCGTTGGATGAAGTGTATATGCCTAAAAGGAGACTATGTTGAAAAATAAAAAAGATTTATTAAAAAAAATCAAGCAGTTTTTATTTTTGCACGGACTTTTCAAACGACCCTCGTATATACCGGAGAACGTTTCTTCTTTTTTAATATGCAGGTTACCTAAATTCATTTATTTTCGTTTATAATAATTAACCTCCATTCTTTGAGTCATAATAGTAATTTTATCTAAATATTTCTACATATTACAATATACCGTTATTACGGTATATTGTAATACATATATAAAGTAATGAATGGGGAATGGTCGAGTAAGCGAAGTCTGAAATTCCTGGACGTAGTTGTCCTCCCAGGTCCGGTGTTCGTCGCGTCGGCGACAGGACGGCCGGATCAGCGCAGATTCGTCGTGTTGGCTAAGAAGCGCGAAAGTTGGTGATTTGAAGGCGGTTGTCGGCGTAAGAAGGTAGGATATTCGAATAAGTAGCGGGATATAAAGATATTAGAACGCTAACAAAAATCTTTAATTGTAAATAATTAACAAAGGCGGTCGGAGGGAGGGAGAGAGCACGCTGAGCGAACGAGTAGAGAGAGTGAGAGAGAGAAAGAGCAAACCATCAAACCGGTATTTACAAGACAGATGCCTAAACCCTATGTTCATCGACGTTTTCTGTGAATGTCTGCGACACACTTCCAAAGTGAGAGAGCTCGTACTCGATCGGACACCAAACATCTGCCGTGTAACTCCAGAGGCGAAGAAAAAGGGCAGAACAATAAAGCTGAGATTCGGCAGGAGAAAACAGTCGATGAGACACCGTCCGGTCAGCGTGTCGAAACAGCTACTCCTCTTGCCGCGGGCTCAACTTCGCAATTCCTCCTCCGTGAGCTAATCAGTGCGCGCAGTCACTCGCTAAGGCGCGACTATATCTCTCTGCGCCTTGCTGTTACGCACAGAAGTATCCCTGCGTATTCGTATCTCTCTCTCACCTTACTTACTTTGTATCAGAACAGGAGTGCAATTACATATGTAGATATACAATAAATAAATATAAATACAATAAATACGTGAATACATAGGATAGGTTCGGAGAAATAGGCTACATTTTCTTATCGCTACTAGGGAGAGAGAGACATAACGAGTCAGCAGTTTCACTCGTTATAAGATTCAAAAATGCTTCCTTGGAGAACGCCGACATTTATGAAATAAGGTTTAGTAATTTCGTTATTTATTTTTACTTTAAAGGTTCTATAGTTTATATCTGATTCTAGCAGGAGATACAAAATTTTGATAAGATTTTATTAAGTTTATACAGTAAACTTTTATGACAAATTTATTCTATTAGAACGTGATTGTTGCAGAAACAGAATTGATGATCGGGTATAAAGTTTAGTTCCTGCAGTATTTTATTCACTCTTATAATATTATAAATTTATAAATTTTTGAAAGCGTAGTAAGTAGACTGATTCATTCGTAAGACGATACAAAAGTTTTTAATTTTTATAGCTTATCTAGTTTGGGAATGAGTATTTTTTTCATATTTTTTTCATACAATATGGAAAAAAATGTAACAATTTTGTATGGCATTATCAGTCTTATTAAATTTTAAGCGGTATGTTTTCTGTGCAAGTGTCCTAATTTTTCTTATTACACCGGGAGGTATTCTTTATGTTGGTTTTAATTATTGAAGCGAAATTTATTATGATTAGGTAATGATCTGAAATTACATTTAAAGACGATTTTATTGTTAGACGTTAATGACTGCAAAGTCTATAAAATCAGGTAGTTTAGTATCGAAGAGTCAATAGATGAGTTCGCCGGTTGATGTTGGTGTTAGACTTTTTGCTTACATTACTGTATAGAGATTTGCTCATTTTGGGTTTTGAGTTATTGATCTTTATTCCTCATTTGGATGTTTTATATTGTAATCACCTCCCATCAAAGTATGATTTTCCAGACTATCAAAGTATTTTCTATGTTGTTCTTTGATAATGTGTTTTGGAGGAAAATATAAAGTAGAGAATATAATTAAGTCGTTTTTATCTTCAATAAATGTAACATAAAACCAATTTTATTTTATATTTATAAGTTGAAAGCTCTTATTAAATTAAAAAAGTATTCTAACTCTCAATTTTATGTACGATAACTTTTTGCTCTTTTTCAGATACTATAGTGACAGAGGTCAATGTGCCAAATGCTACTTGTCATGTAAAACCTGCTCAGGTCCTAGAAGAAACCAGTGCGTAAGCTGTCCAAAGGGATGGCAGTTGGCTGCTGGCGAATGTCATCCGGAATGTCCCGAAGGATATTTTAAGACAACTTACGGTTGCCAGAAGTGCCACCACTATTGTCATACTTGTAGAGGTAAATATTTTTATTTATTAATACATTTGAAGTGCAACTAATAATCATTCTTGGTTAGTTCGAAATTTTTTTAAATCTAAAAAAGATTTGAAAAATTTTATTCTTTATACCAAATTGTTAATTCAATCCCTTACACTGTAATACATTATATACTAAATAAAGTGAAAATTAAGAAACTTGAACTGCAAGTAATTTCAGCCTTGATTGTAAAATCCTATAAATTCGAACTCTTACTAAAAAATGTTCAATAGTCTTTCGATAGCGTAATTTTCAGTTTGAATTGTTTGTTTTTTTTTTGTTTCATTTATTTTTTGGTGAGACCTTTCTACATCAATTTTTTATGAACTAATCTTGTTTAAAACTTATTTATTGCAATACTAAGTTATTGCTTAATCTGTATTACATGGTTGTGTAATATAAATCGACACTAAGTAATAATTATCTTATTATTTAGCAATATAATGTAATTAATTCTTACCTAGTATCGATTTTTGCAGTATTCTAATTGGAAATTTTAAATCCGTGACAAATAAGAAACTATATCTGTATTCCAAAAACCTTATATTCTGCAATTTCCAAACACATGATAGGTAAATGTTGAACTCTAATTCATGAAACCCACTACAAGTCACTTTTGAAATGTAAACCTTTCGACTCTGTATCCTGTAAGTCTTAGATCTATGAAAAATATCCTCGATTTTCAAATGTCAAGAACGTGATTCTACTACATTGGAACACACGGCAAAATAATCACATAATCTTAAAACTCTGCAATCTACGAGTTTTAAACTCACGTCAATAGGAAACCGTAAATTAACTCTCAACAGTTTAATTCTTTTTAAGCTTTCTTATCCACCATAGATAATTTTCAAATATCAAGAATTCAGTTCACTGCAAGCTTCAAACTAACGACCAGTAAATCACGAGCTTTATACTATGCGAGTTGTAAATCTACAATGAGTAAATGACGAACTTTGAACAAAAAAATGCTGTATCCTCCAAAGCTCAGACTCTTGAGAGATAATTTTAGTTTCAAATCAAAGTAAATAAATATGTGAATAATATTATATCACCAATGAACTATTAAATAAAGTCAAAGATAGATTAACACAATAAAGCACATTAGAAATACAAGCAGAGCGTTCTACTCAAACGACAGCTCAGACTAGACTGACATTTTATTATATTTTTATTTTTTTTGTTGCGTTAATAAGCTATAAAGAGTAGATTACGCCAAATAAGGAATAATTACAAAAGAACGCTTTGATGCTAGCATAGGTTTCAAATGGACTCGCTTTATTTTTTGGCATCTAGGCATAGGTTTTTGGCATATTTTGTTGCTATACTACATCGCTACCGGTCCATGTCGAAAGTTACGCCCCAGGTAGCGAGACTCTTTACGATTTTTGAGCTTTAAAAAATGACCTTAAATTTCAAAGTCACGAAACTAGGGGTTGAGTCAAATAAAAAATCGAGTTCTACCATCATAAAGTAGAGACATTAACGTTTAATTTAAAAATAAATTGATCCCATTACGATATTTCTGACCTGAGTTATTGATCTTCGAAGTTGTGCCCTTTCTTAATCGGAATTAGGTATTGCGTTAATTTGGTTGCAAAATGTATAAAACATGTAAAATTAAATAACATGTTCGGATTTTTAATAATTTTTGGCAATATTTACCTTTCTATTATTGTTTTTTTTCCTTTATAATTCAAAAATAATCGACACGACACTGTAATTCAAATAGGAACCGAGATAATATTTAAAAAAAAATCCTTTACGGTTGATACTTTCGTTCCGATGTCGTCTTTTCAACCGAGTTAAACTCACCTTAAGTCTCCTGACTTGTAACACTCGATCTATCTTAGGTATGAATGATTTAATGTTTATTTCAACTAATCCCATAAATGAAATCGGTTTAAAACTTAACTGATAATAGATTCGTTAAACTAAAAGGTAACGAAATAGCGTAATGCGGCGAATAAAATCAAAATCGTTTATGACTAGAAAACTACAGTCTTTGTTGAGCCGAAACACTTTCGCACTCGAAGAGGATTAACTACTTGTTCCAATAATACGACGTTGGGGCAACTAGAGTCCCGTCGCGCCCAAACTGAGGGTCAAGCCTTTAGTTCCGCTCTCCCTGAGCGTCGAACGGTGAAAAGATCGGTACTCCTCTCGAGGAGGTCACCGCTTTAGATCAAAAAGGCTCCGACTCGCTGTGTGCGTCAGGGATGTCGTAGCAAACTTGACTTCCGGATCTCCAAAGTGTTTGAAAGCTAAGGAGTGAAAGACAGTGGGCTATGCCAACCTATTGGCACCCAGAGAGAGGGGTGGTAATGTTTGATTACGCTATGCCACCCTCAAAACGGAAAAGCGTGAATCAACGCATACACTAGCTGTTCCAATAATACGGGCGGTTGCAATCACGGCGCTCTCATTAAGCTCGATTACGATCCGCTTAGCAAAAACATAGATGATGCACATAGTGCACCATATGGCCAGCTGCGAGGCTGGCTAGATCACTTTGTGCAAAAATCTTTTTGTCCAAGCGGCGGATTATGATTGTCTTCCTCAACAGAGAATTGAAACTTCTCAAACAAACAATTCGTTACTTTGGGAGAGAATGTCATAAACTTCTCTTTTCTGTACGGGCATATGCAAATGCAAATACTGATGTACAAAATGCGCCACCGATTGCCCTCGACAAGCAGTTAATGCAAATCGACCCGAAGTGAATGCAATATATTTTTAAAAGACTACTTCATTCACAAGTGCAGATGTGTGTACCTTCACGTGGTGGGGCTGAAAACGCTGTCCCTGTAAAGAGACAGTAGGTAAAACACACAACACTTGCCCCTGGGGTAATAGGCCGACTGGCCAAACAAATCATTACCAACACGGACCATGACAATACGTGATGAGGTACGGCCTGTAAACGCCCAAAAATTCAATGCGGAGTCTACCACACCCCAAGAGCTCAACTCGAGCCCAGACAAGCCAAAATCCGGAAGTCACTTGAGGGGAAATCTCTCGGGATTGTGGTAATGCGCACCCTCTTTAGAGGACGGGAGACCGCCCCAGGAGATAGTTGCAGAAGACCAATGGTTCCGGAAATCCGAATTTAATTCGGGTACATAACAAATTACTCCCTATCGACTGGCAATCGGTAGGTGCCACTACTGTAGGTAAAGAGTCGCGGCCGTGGTCATAGCAGCCACCCAAAGTTCTTTGCCTCGAGCTCCTCGAGTAAGGCCCGACACCATTGTGCAAGAGAACATAGTCCATTGGGCTGAGTAACTCTCGATGATTAGAACGCACTACGGATGCCAAAACCCTCAGGAGAATTATTTCCACAGAAGGGCAGCATCCTTCCTGCTAAAGAATTGTTTAAGCCCTGATAGCTAGAGCAGTTTTACAATTGAAAGCGAAATTAGTGAAAGTCAGCTCCCTATGAAAGTGAAAAGCCGTGCACTAAATACCCGTCAAATCTAGTGCGGCTATACATGAACACAGGCTAAGACGAAAGAAAAGACAGAAACCCGATAAGCTCACTCAAGCGCTACTCTAGTTGCAATCCGTCGAAATACCTAACCCCTGACTAAGACCAGGTTTGACTAATCACAAACCTAGAGTAAAAACAAACACGCCGGTACATTAGTAAATAATTTTAAGTTATATGTTACAATTCAAATTAGTTTTAAGCAGTTAATAGTAATATAAGCAGTAGCAAGAATAGTTACTGTTAATACTTTGGATGAAATGAATTGATTTAAATTTGAAACAATGATAAACTTTAATTAATCAACAATTGAAAGTATGTACAAAATAAAACTCTATATTAGAGACACGGCCTGCCTCGTGCAGCCGCTCTCTCGTAACCAACTTACACGTTATCACATACAGTTGCACTCGCGCTTCTCATCCGTATGCGCGCATGCGCACTCGCTTACTTGATATAGCGGGAAAATATAAATTCATAATTTAACAGTTACCAATTAAAATTAAGAAAGAAATTTAGAAATAATTAGGAATAAATAATCAAATTAATCAAATTAAAAATAAAAATCATAAATCAAAATCAAAATCAAATCAAAATCAAAAATCAAATAAAATGAAATCAATTAATTCAACTAACAAAAAGTTAGTAAAAGCTAGGAAAATAGCTAGCTAAATCAATGTAATTAATAGAGCTCGTAAGTCAACTCGCACTCTCTCACTCTCTCACTGCTTACATGCTCGCACGATATTCGCTTATTTTGAACGCATACGTTAACAAGCGCTAAAACTAAAAGTCGAACGCCCTACGGCAAATTAAAAATCTCGAAAGCCACACAACTCATCAGTGATGAAATTGAAAAAGTATGGCAGGAGAAATGGTAGGCAGCCACAAATGGCAGGAGAACGTACTGCTATTTCCCAGTAATCAAAGATAGATTAATGAAGGGATGGCTAAATCCCAATCACTATACAGTACAGTTTATGACTGGACACAGTGCTTTTAAGTCATACCTCCATAAAAGAGGATTATGTGAAGACCAACTATGTAGTTGTGGAGAGATAGAAAGCAAAAGCCATATTCTCTTTGACTGCGGAGAATTAAGGGAACTAAGAAAGCCATTAATAGAGGCTGTTAAAGAGGAGCGCCATACATGGCCTTGTTCTGAAACGGCCCTAGTATCTAGCCGGAAAATCTACAATGTCTTTGAAGACTGCAAGCAAAGTCATAAAGCCCAGGGAAGGAGCACCTATAAAGAAGAGACTGCGCAGAAAAGTAGTTACCGACTAGAAAGACGCCGTCTCTTACAAGGTCCCTATCCAGAAGACAAAACTCGCACAATGACTAAACTAATATTTGAACTTTGAATAGCTAAATAAAACTTGAATTTTTGAAAGATAATTTTTGTACAATGAACTTTAGAATTAGATTATGAAATTCAATAATTCGAATGCAAATTAGAACACCCGATTTAAGCTTCATTTCGGAACTTGATTCG